CTGGATCCTTACTGGCTCCTTACAAGCGTATGTGAAGGAGAGGGAAAAGCAGCTCAGCTCAAAGCGATCCCCAGACTTTGTTTGCTGTAGGCTCTCAAGCAGTCTTCAGCTCCACAGACAGCCTTTATCTTCTGAAGCTTCCATTCCGTGCCTGCCTCACACGTGTTACCATCACTAGGGCAGGAGCAATGCCTCCCAGCTCAGGACTGTTTTCCTATCAGTCACCAATTGTGTTTTACCTGTTGGTGCTCCAGACTTTGTCATTAAAGGAGGAAAGGGCCTCCACACAGAGCCTCGCCGGGCACAACACAGAGTTCTGTGTGTTGAAACACGCTCGCCATGTTCCCGCAGTGCTGAGATGGGCAGCAGGCGGCACCGAGCCGCAGCACCCGCCCTGGGGCTCTGGGAGAAGGAGGTCCGTGTGTGTGCATGCAGGTGTTTGCCAGTGTGTCCCTGAGCCTTGATGAATTGCAAGCAGTGCATGTGCTGGCCATGCTGCTCACAACAGGGCAGGGCTGTGCAGGGATGGGGCAGGGTGAGCAGCATGCAGTGCAAGCGCTGAGGAGCGTTGGCAGCAGCTCTGGAGCTTTGGGAGATCTTCACGCTCTGGGCAGAGCCACGCTGCTCCCCCACACCCCATTGCTTCCGCTCTGTGGGTCGCTGGGAAGCGCCTCCTAAACGTGAATGCCCATCTTTCCAAAGTGCTGCCCTGTTCAGAGAGGGATCTGAAACATTTTCAGTTCTCAGATCTGAGAATAACACGGCTTCTGCAGCTGAGCGGTTTCTTTTGCTCCTAAAATGGTGAACGTACACAAGTGCTGCTGTTGGAGAAATAGGAGGCAGTGGGGCTTTCCCAGAGGGTCATTGCCCCCTGAGACCCGAGGCAGCTGGCTGGGAGCAGAAGGTTTGCGTGTCCATACTGAAAGCAGCGTTGAGCTCCTGCCCCTGCTCAGTGCTGGGGCCGCAGATGGCAGCTCCGGCCGTAGCAGAAGTAAGAACCAAAGCACAATGCGTGGTGGTTGCAGCCCAGGGGCCGCTTCCCAGCCGGCCATTGTTCACTGTGTGGAAGGGTTGGGCTGTCGGCGACGCCATGTGCAGCCGCAGCTATCGCCCATTGACCCTGCTCACCAACCAGCCCTGCCGAGGGCTGCAGGCCCGGCACTGCACTGCCTGGGTGAGCTCTGTGCCGGGATGCAAAGGCAGGAGTTGTTTGCAAGGAAAACGCAGCGCATCACAAGAGCGGCGGTGCCCTCGTGCTGCCGCTCTCACTCGGCCCCCTCTGTAGCACGGCAGGGCACGGCGGCGTGGTTGGGCAGCGTGCATCCCGCACTGTACCATTCTGGCAGTGTTTCCTCTTGCAGTCACATCACCGCAGTGCCCGGCGGCCGTCCCACAGAACTGGCTGTCAGTTCTGCTGCTGCTGCCCTTCTCCCCTTGGCCCGGGCCGTGCGCAGGCCCCGCTCCGGCAGAGCAGCAGCGTTCTCCTCACTGCCTCCGCTTCCACCATCCTCTCCTCCCTACGCCCACGTTGCCCCTTTGTCCCACGTTACACCTCCTTCCCACACCACGCCGTTTGCTCTGCCCAGAGCTCCACTGCTGCGGGCACTGAGCGCTGTGAGCCCCGGCAGAGCAGCGCAGCGCAGCCCGGCACCCAGCCCCACTGCTGCCAGCAGCGCCGCACGGCCCGCACTTGGCGCAGGGCACTCAGCCCCACAGCACCACCCCACACGCTCAGAGCACCCCGTGTGCCCTCGGAGCAGTGCTGGGGTCCCAGCCCTGCGCCCTGCCTGCCTCCCACAGCCTTCCTTCCCGGCAAGGTTTGCTTCTCGACCCACATCTCCAGCTCGGATCGCCTCTCGTGGCTGCGCGGTTTTGTTTTCTGTTTGCTGCTTTTTTCACCAGGGAGAGAACGGAGGTTTCTTGGAGGCCCTCTGTGGAGTCGGACCCTCCTGCAGGATCTCAGCATGCAGAATTCCGCTGACTTTTCTACATATCTGCATGCGTGATTACCAGAGAAGTATTTTTAAAAGTAGCTCGGTGTCTCTTTCAGGGAGTTAGAAAGGAGCAGATTTATTCTCTGCTGCGCTGAGAATTAACTCTCTTTTCTTCCTTCTCCCTCTGCCCCCACTGGAAAGAGAGAGAATGTAAAAAAAGAAGAAAGGATTTACATTGTCGTCGTGATTGGCACAGTCTGTGAATGAGAGGTCATTTCATGTGGCTGTTTCTTTTCAAGCGCTCTTTTTTTCATGCACACTGTATTCAGGCTGGGAGCATTCTTTCTTTTCAAAGCTTCTCTGTCTGTCTCTCTCTTCCCCCTCCTTTATTTTTCATCCCTTTTCTTTACTTTTGCTGTCTTTTCATTCTGTTTTTCTCCTCCCCCTTGGGGCTCCATTTTTTCTTTCCTCTTTCCTCTATTCAGTTCCTTTTTTCTTTTCGCGTCTTTTTTGAATAGCTCTTCTATTTTCGGAGAGGAAAGGGACCGTGTAGAAGAGAAGTCGTT